CCGTAACACCTAAATCGTTTTGAAAAGAAAGAAAATAAGTTGACTGTTGGTCAACCGTCTAAAGAACCGAATGTAAAGTTGAATTGATTTTTATTAAAAGGATAAACATATGCACGATCTTAATTGTTGAATTATTATGTTTATTCTTGTGCTACAATGGAGTACCACTCAGCGTCAATGCTGAGCGGATAGCGTTGTTTTCCTTTTTGCTGTCCGTAGGTGATCAGACAGATGAACCTAGAGCCGATCCCAGAAGGCATTGAGGAGGAGATGTACGATGGCGTGGCTGTCTCTTTAATCTGTTGATTATGCTTTATTTAATTAACTTTAATGCTTATTACGTTTTCGGGCAAGATCCCAAGTTGTTTGATTTTAAAAAGGCTTCCGCATTATTTTAAATTACTCCGATGGATTTTTATATGTATTGATAGAACGTTTGTTTAAAATTGTTTTGAAAATGTCGCAAATTCGGATACCAATTCAGTGGCACACCGGTCCGCTGTCTCACGGGTTTGGGTCATGCGGGTTGGGGTGTTACATGTTCGGTGGCTATATCAACTACTGTAGGAACAGTGGTGGACGACTAAGTGCTGGACGAGGTAGACAGAACGACTATGGGCTGGGTGGATGGATGGACGGTCCTCGGCAGGATGGTCGAGGAATATTGCTATCGGGAAGTCCCCATGTGACGGGGGACGAGGATGTGAAGGAGGAGACGGTGGAATGGCAAATGGGAAGGTGGACTCATCAAACGAGATATCCCGGGTATGAAAAAAATGATGTGTCTCCAAATCGTTCACACGCCATCCTTTTGTACCATAGGGATACCCAACAAACACGCATTTGATACTCCGAGTTGCAAATTTGTTTGGGAGTTTTTTGACGAACAAAACATAAACACCTAAATACTCGGAGATGACTCAACTCACAAGGTTTTGAAGAAAGAATTTCAAGAGGAGATTTGTTACTGAGGAGTTTTGTTGGTGTACGATTGATGAGATAAACACCAGTTTTGACACATTCGCCCAAGAATTCAAGTGGGAGAGACGCTTGGAACATGAGAGCCCTTGCCACATTTAAAATGTGCCGATGTTTTCGTTCGACACGACCGTTTTGTTGAGGTGTACCTACACAAGAGGTTAGAACACAAACACCCATTTGGTCATAGTATTGACGTAAAGAAGAATTAAGAAACTCTATACCGTTATCTGAACGGACAATTTTTATGGTTTTTGAGTATTGGGTTGCTATCATAGAGAAGAATCGTTTGAGACAAGAAGTAACTTCACTCTTTTCTCGTATGAGACATACCCAAACAGCCCAGGAAAAATCATCAATAATGGTTAAAAATAGTGTGCACCCGTAGCCAAACAAGCAAAATATAGACCCCAGATACCACAATGAATTAAATCAAATACGGAATCAGCTTTATTTGAACTAGGAATAAAAGGAGTACGAGTTTGTTTTGACATAAAACAAATTTCACAGGTTTGCAACTTGTTAATAGTAGAAGTGCGATTATTAGAGCCAATATGAATTATATGACTAGATAAATGAGGAGAGAGATGACCCAAACGTTGATGAAGAAGAACCGGATCAACGGTGGAGACAAGAGCTTGAGCTGACGAACTGCAAAAGACATAGACTCCGTGTCGCAAATCACCCCGAACAATCTCCATTTTCGACGAACGATCGTGTATTACACAACAAAGTTCATTAAAAATTACATGACAAAACTTATCACGAATCAGACAACCAACAGAGATCAAATGGAAATTGAGATTAGGTACAAAAAGCACTCAAGACAAAACAAGATTGGAGGCTAATTGCACCCTTCCTTGTTGAGTAGCTTGAACCCGGGAACCATCAGGCAAACTAATCCCACAAGGAGGAATAGTGGTAATATCAAACATATGTGATTGGGTTCCCGTCATATGATGAGACGCTCCACTGTCATTCAACCATTCACAAGAAGTAGGAGACATACCATTATATTGACTAGACACAGAGGACTCAAGAAGAGACAAAATGTGTGCCATTTGATCACTCAAATTAGCGGGGGCTTCACTATTGAGTGCATTAGCCGTGCCGCTGTTGCTTCCAGTCGAAGGGTTCGCCGGACTGCTGCTGTGTCCAACGCTGCCAGGCCCACGGCCAAACCCTCGACCACCACCGGACTAGAGCTCGCAACCACCACCTCTTCCTCCACCACCCCGGGACATGGAACCTCGACCACGTGCATAACCTTTTGGAAAACCAATAAGCTCAAAGCATGTATCAACATTGTGATTCGTACGCCCACAATGTGAACACAAGGAACGACCAGTTGGGGGGCGTCGGGCTGCGAACGCCACTGCGTCAGTGCGGTCATCACGAGTACGAATAATCGTACGATGACGTTCTTCTTGAGAGACCAAATAAAATGCTATATCCAAATCTTGGACAGGTTCATTCTTGATGATTTGACCACGCACAATGCCAAATTGTTCATCGTCGAGACCCATCAAAAAAGCCATAGTCTTCTCACGTTCTGAACGTGCTCGCAGAACCGCAGCCGTGTTAGATAAACGTCCCAACGCTAGAGGGGGGGGTGAATAGCGTTTGAAACGAAAAATGACGCATGAATAAAAAACTAAAAGGCGTAAAGTAAGAGCAAGGAAGAGGCACAGCGTTTTTACCCTGGTTCACCACAACTTGTGGCTAGTCCAGCCTCCCGAGAGACTCTCTCGAGATACACTAACAACATTAAGCTTAATGGTGCTTAACAAACCCGTACAACTTGAGAGTTTGAGTCACACGAACCTCAACGAACCTTCGAAGGAAACAACTCTTCCTACGAACAACAAGAGAAATATTTTCTCTTGTCAAGTGTCTAAGAACACTAAATCACTCAAGAATAATACTCTCTTTTAGAGTGGATTATGAGTAACTAAGAACGCTCAAGAACACAACACGAACTTCACAAAAATGGCTCTCAAAAAGCTATGAATAAAGTATGAATGATATGCAATGAAAGAATAGGAGTTGTGAAGTAATGTGATGTGTATAGCAGACCCAAACACCCCATTTTATAGTGGAAAAATAGGCTCCAACGAATCAAAACATTTAAGGGGTGATTGGCACAATTTGTGGGATTTGATTAAAAATGTATCTGCTGAAAATCCTCTAGACAGCGCTGTTCTAGGTTTGGTTTTTGAAAAATAGGAAGCAACGGTCATGCCAACAGCGTTGTCCAATGCCCCTACATCGCTGTTTTGGCTGTTGACTTCCAAACAAGGAAAGTTTTAACCATAAATTCCTCTCAACGGTCAGGTGCCTACATCGATGTTCATTACTTGAACATCGCTGTTCAGGCCTGACTTTGAAGGGGAAGGAGTTGGCTTGACAGCGCTGTTGCTGGGTCAACATCGCTGTCCAAAATCTTTCTGCAAAAGGCATTTCTTTTTGGCTTAGGTTGGACAGCGATGTAGGGTAATCTACATCGTTGTTCCAGATGTTTCTGGAAACCCAACCTTGGCTCAACAGCGATGTCCAAACACCAACATTGATGTTGCAAGACTTAACGCCAAACCATGGTTTTTCAGCTACCCATGCCAGACAGCGTTGTTGGTTACTCCAACATCGATGTTGGGCTTGTTTAGCCAGACCCATGGTTGGTTTAGTCATGCCGTTAGCCGATGTCAAAAATGTAAGTTCTCCAAAATAAAAACCAAGTATTGAAAACATTTGTTTAATGCATTTTTCTAAGAAAACAAGTAAAACATCTTAAAAACCACGCCATTTAGATAAAAACCACGGCTAGCCAAGTTTACGACGTTTCGCATGGTTTTCACTAAACGACCAAAAACGAAAGGTGGTTTTTGAAGCGTTTTTGTTGGAGAACTATTTAAATATGCCCAGAAGTAAAAACATATCATAAAATGTTGAAAACCACTTGGTTGGTTCGGACGCCAAAAACCAACCTCGATAACCGAATGCCGAACGCCGGATGGCTTGGTTTTTTATTTGGGTGAACACCAAGTGTTTTAGGCTTGTTTAAAAAAACTTATGAAAAACATTTTGAATATGCAAAAGAGTATTTTAATGAAGCGAGCCTAGAGAGCCATGTTTTGAAGTTTGTGCTGGTCTTGATCACATTAAGACCGACTCAATAAATTCTGTAACACCCCAATCCATATAATCCGGAATTACATGAATTAAGGTGAAACGAGAGTTAAATAAAAATTTCACTTGACATTTGAAAATGACAATTACTTATAAATATTAAATTTACAGACTCTGGATCGCGACCCATTTAAAAGTATTTTCAGAGTAGTACGGAAATACAATAATAATCAAATCATGACACATTTTAAAATATGATGATCAAACATTTGCCTGCCATCCTTGCATCTCCTCTGACTCAATGCCCTCCGGGAATGGTTCCATCATTGTCTTCTTGTTACCTACGTGTAGTCAACGAAAAATACAAACTACACGCTCAGCGAAACCGCTGAGTGGTACCACGCTAGAATTGTAGAATGATTCACAGACATATACATATACATATGTATACGTCCACAAAATGTATAGTAAAATTCATGATATGGCACATATTATCATATGGTCAATTTGATGAATCATGATGATAAATATTTAATAATAATTACATGATGGCACATTTAATCAATTTGATTGTGAGGATGATTACATGATACCTATGTAATCAATATACTTTTTCTTGATGATGATTACATGACACCTATGTAATCAATGTAATTGTACTTGATGATGGTAACATGATGCATGATCCTATAACTTGCAAGGACACCCTTGCGCTATGAGATTTGCCCATTTGGTACGACGAACTCACGCGGCCTTAGTCTCACGAATGAGGTGAGACTAGAAAAATAGGGGTGGTACTCGAAACCTGAATACCATGTACATACACTAAGCCCTGAACAGGTGATGTCGGACTAGTAATTCCCGCACATCACGCTATAAGAGATGCAATTACGCATGATCTCATACGCATGCATATGATATGATATGCTACAATATGTGCGATGAAATGAATGATATGACATGAACAATTTGTAAACAATATGATCCGTGCTTACGGGGCTTGATGATCCGGGACATGATGTATAGGAGTAGATGGCTCTCGGGGTTCGCTGAGTTGATGGTGGGGCGGCCCGAGGCATGGCAGATGAGCTCTGTGATGCCAAGCTCATTGAGGATAAGGCCCTCGTTATTGAGCACCCAGTCCTCTCCGCCATAGTGAGAGACATTGTCGCCTTGGTAGGGGGGCCGACGATGCGCCCAAGCTGCTCAACGGGGAGCTCGATCGGCGTGCTCTTGACAAGGGAGTAGAGCACGTCGTCCTCACGTCGGAGGTTGGAATAGAAAACTCGAATCAGCGCCGGGTTGATCTCCTTCTGAGCCCGGGAGACGAACGGCCAAAGGCCGGTTTGGTGAAGCTGTGCGTCAAGGTCGTCGTAGCCTTGGAGCTCTGGTAGGCGCTCCGGGACGATCCATGGGGGTGCCACAACCCGTTTAGAGAAGAAGGTGAGAAAACGGGTGCGCTCCTCCTCGGAATCGAACCAGAGGTACAACCCGTCGCCGTAGTAGAGGCGCTCCTCGAAGTTTGTTGACGGTGCCCGGGATTTGGACATTGATTTCCCGGAGGTGGCAGCCCTGCTCTTGTCTTTGCCCATGGTGATGAAGAAATCTCAAAAAAATGTAGAGAAGGTGAAATATGCAAGGAAATTGAAGAAAATTATGTTTAGATGTGAGAAATAGGTGAGTAGGGGACCAAATATATATACGATTAGGTTTCCAACGTTCAAAAATTCAAAAAAATGGCAGTTGGAGCATTTAATTCAGGGCCCAATGGGTATTTTTTTAAAAAAAACCAGTTTGAACAGCGATGTTTCATAGGCGACATCGTTGTTGGGACAGCGCTGTTGTGCCTCTTGACAGCGCTATTCTGCGTTAAGTTTTAAAAACATGTGTCAAATGGACAACGATATTGGGTATCCTACAGCGATGTTCCAAAAGTTTCTGGAAATGTGGAAGGGTTTGCACCCATTAGAACATTGCTGTTGGGTTTCCCTGCATCGCTGGTTTACGATCGAAAAAAAATGGACAGCGATGTTGAAAATGGGGACATCGCTGTTGAAATAGTTTCTGGTTTTGCTTGGAAAACATTCTGGAAGGCATAAGAGAAGAGAACTCCCTTTGACAGCACTGTTGGTGTATTGTACAGCGTTGTTGTCCCAAGTTGGTTGATGATGTTTTCTTCAACGACGCTGTTGGTCTCCTCGACAGCGCTATTTGCATGGTTCCCCCTGATTTTGTGAACGGGGTACCTGCAAAAAAAGGAAAAGTTCTCCGACGCTCAAGTTAGTAAACGCTTAACAAGTGAAAATGCACAACTTAGATCATCATGGAGTCAAGGATTCCGAGTTCACTTCGAATGCGGAAGAACGACTCTTTCTCTAAAGGTTTTGTGAAAATGTCGGCTAATTGGTTGTGTGTTTCAACAAACTCAATTTCGACATCACCTTTGAGAACATGATCTCTAATGAAATTATGCCTAATGTCAATGTGTTTCGTCCTTGAATGAAGAACGGGGTTCTTCGTCAAGCTTATGGCGCTAGTATTATCACAACGAAGAGGAACGTGATAACGCAACACTGACTTGTTTCTTACTAAACCATGAGACTAGAGACCTACCAAGTAAATGGCAAGTCCCACTCGTACTCGTACTTTAGACACAGTTGATACCTTGCGCAAAGGCATACGCTAAACATGATATCCGGCCTACTAGCGGTAAGATAGAGAAGGGATCCGATCATACCTCGATACCTTTTGACTTCTACTTCCTTACCTTTCTCGTCTTTGTCAAGATGGTCAGACGTGCTCATCGGGGTCGCCATGGCTTTTGCGTTGTCCATTTTGAACCTTTTTAGGAGCTCCTTGCAATATTTAGTTTGGCAAATAGAACGTGAGCTCACCCATCATTGACATTTCGAATTCACTAGTCATTAGTTTGGAGAATTCCTTGCACAAAGACTCGTTAGTAGCACCGAATATAATATCATCTACATAAACTTGAAGCAAAAGGATGTTATTGTTTTTACTCTTGATAAAAAGTGTAGTGTCAACCTTTCCCCTTTGGAATCCACTATCCAAAAGAACTTTACTCAAACGTTCGTACCAAGCACGGGGTGCTTTTTTAAGACCGTAGAGCGCTTTCTTGAGTTTGAAGACGTGGTCGGGATACTCAAAGTCTTCAAACCCCGGGGGCTGGTCGACGTACACTTCCTCTTGAATAAAACCATTGAGGAAGGCACTCTTAACATCCATTTGATAAAGTTTAAAATCTATAGACGAAGCAAAAGCAAGAAGTAAGCGAATAGCTTCTAAACGTGCTACGGGTGCATAGTTTTCTTCAAAATCAATGCCTTGTTCTTGATTGTAGCCTTTAGCTACGAGCCTAGCTTTGTTTCTAGTGATTATTCCATTTTTATCAAGTTTATTATGAAACACCCATTTCGTACCAATAATCGTACGATCATCGGGCCTTGGCACCAATTCCCAAACGTCATTCTGTTTGAATTGGTTTAGCTCCTCTTGCATAGCCAAGGTTCAATGTTCATCATTTATTTCTTCGGAAATGGTTGTAGGTTCAATTTGAGAAACAGAAGCCATGTGTCCTACGGTGTCCCTAAGTGAGTTACGAGTACTTACCCCGCGGTTGATGCTACCGATTACCTGGTCAAGCGGATGGTTCTTGTTCGTTCTCCATGCAGTGGGAAGCTCGGTTGCTTCTTCTTTGTGTTCCTCTTGTTCTTCTTCCTCCTCCTGATTTTTTTCTTCACCTTAGTTGGTTGCTTGAGGTGTCTCCCCAGTTTGCGGCCGTGTGTTGGTGTAAATTCCCGTGTTCTCTTCATTGTCTTCGACGTGTATTCTCTTTAGTGAATCTGCAAGATCATCACAAATATCCTTTCTCGCCAAGCGAGGATTATCTTCGAAAAATACAACGTGAGGGGACTCCTCAATAGTCAAGGTACGTTTATTAAAAACTCTATAGGCCTTGCTACGAAGTGAGTAACCCAGAAAAATTCCTTCATTCGACTTGGCATCAAATTTGCCTAAGTTATCTTTTCCATTGTTATGAATAAAACATTTGCAACCAAAGACTCGAAGATGGGAAAGGTTTGGCTTTCTCCCTTTGTATAATTCATAAGGAGTTTTCATGAGTATCGGTCGAATGACGGCTCGGTTTAACACGTAGCTCGCGGTACTCACGGCATCCGCCCAAAAATACTTTTCATTCTGGAAGGACCAAAGAGATCCATGTGCAAAAGTTGAAGCGGTCTAGACGTTGAAACAACGTTCTTGGACTTAAGCGAAGCCCGAACTTGCTTCCCCTTTTGACATGCATCACATATGGTGTCTTTTTCAAACTTAAGTTTTGGAATGCCAATTACTAAGTCTTGTGAAACCAATTTGTTCAAAAGGTTCATGTTCATATGAGCTACCATTCGGTGCCATAACCAAGTGTCTTCCTTTTTACTCATGAGGCACTTAGCAAAGCCGGAAGGAGATTTGTCTAAGTTAACCATATAAATATTATCGATTATATCACCACGTAGAATGACCTTATTGTCACTAAGGTGTTCTACCGTGCATGATTTTGAGTCGAAGGTCACACGATTTCCCTTGTCACATAATTGACTTATGCTCAAGAGATTATGTTTAAGACCTTTAACAAGCAAGATATTATCTATAGAGGAGTTTTCAGATTTACCTAC